GAAGGCTGGAAAGTGTCTGACCAAACAGGATAAAACCGCCTGCCTGCTGAGATGTAGTATTGCCAGTCCCAACTCTGGGATTGCCAGTGTATTTCTAGGATAAGCTCTGGTTTCACAGTGCTCAATAACTGCCCTGTGGAACTTATCTGTTAGCATGCAGCTTGATATCAAAGGTGTAAGATCTCAGCCGTCAGACTTCCCTCTGGGGACAGAATCAAGTTTTGCATGATCTTGTTGTCTTCTGTCTATTGGTATTTATTTCTCAAACTTGGTGTTTTATAAAGTGCTAATTCAAACCAAGAAATAATTTTAATCCGGTTTTAATAGAAGAGTTGTGATAATAAAAATGTTGTGTTTTGAGCTCAAAACTGCCTTTATAATGTCTTCTCTAAAAGCAATCTTTGCTTTTATATTTTGAGGCTTTGTGCATACCACATACTTATGTGACGAGCACTTCCATATGAATCAAGCTAGCACTTTGAATATTCAGCTCATGTCTCAAGACAGGTAATAATTAGTGAATACAATTCTTCAGACCTTCAAAGTACATTTCAAATACGAATTGTTGCAGCAACTCCAATAAGGGAGTTTAACACTACCCACGTTATGGCAGGGCAAGTAGCATTAGAAGTTATGATTTACCTAAGGCCAGTGAAGTGTTGTGAGAACCGGAATTCATTTTGGGTTTCAGCTCTGTATGAAACAAGTGGTAGAGGAGCAGCAGCACCGATGAAAACTGGTCCCTGAGGATTTGTGTCTCTAGGGTGATCAATCCTATGGGTTCTCTGACGTCAAATAAGAGCTGACCTCTGTCATTAACCTTTCTCTTCTTGTCTTTCAAGCGTCTTTCCTCTACCCAACCATTTTTTAGGTTGTTTGGAGCTTGGGGACTTCTTCCTGCCATCAAATTTAGTTGAAAGCAGGTCAGTGGACTCAAAAGTGATGAGCAGGCAGCTGACAGATGGACATAAGCAAATAGAGCATCTAGTAGTATGGGCACAATACTACAAGTACAGCTTCCATCTCACTTGAAAACTTAGTTGCAGTCATTTTGGTTTTCATGGTCAGAAATACAAGTATAAAAAGGGCAAGTATATATTTATGTATGTAAGTAGTATATGCAAGTAGACTTTTAGTATATATTTAGTCACTAGAAAAGAAAGCTCATGCATGGAGTTTCTTTGTTGCAAGTGTAATTCTGTGGGTATCTTCCGCTGTTTTCTAGCACAAGCACATGGAAGTCAGGTAACATGCATTCAGTCACACAGGAGATCATATGTAATAGAAAGAAGTAGGCTGACCTCTCCTATAGCACATCTTGCTCCTAAAAGTAAAAAGCAAATGCTTTTGCTAAAAGTAAACAGTAAGTGTGGCATATTTCCGTGTTTATACTCTGGATACAAAGACATTGTATGTAATGGGTTGGTTTGGGGTAATCTTTTCTCAGGCGCAAAACCCAAGGAAGCAGCTGCCAGTCTTACTTAGTTTTGATTTAAGGACTTCCCAGTATGGACTAAATGAGTTTAGGATGGGTTGTGCCTTTTGGTATCTGGGATATTCCATGACAGAACTGGAGTGCAGCTTCTGAGATACAGGACACACACACAGCTTCGCGCCTGACATACATTAACTTGCGGCTCTTTTGGGAACACAGTGATGAAACTGGGCCTCCACTGAGGACTGGCCTGCTTCTTATGGCTTAAAAATAAGTTTCTCCCAATACTTTAAAAGTTAAAAGCCTGCACAGGAGTAGTGGGTGTTTCAATATTGTCCTTATCTTTACGCAGAGCTGGAAATTCCCAGTGTGTATGAAGAATGTTGAAATATCTATTTTACTTTTTTGGGAGAAGCTGTCCCAAACAAAAAGTGGGAGTGCCTTTACTGTGGCTCTTCTAAAGAAAAGATTGAAAACTCTGTGCTGAACATTACCAACTTGAAGGGAAATGATCCTCTGCAATCTTCTTAATAGGTCTTTGATCATACTGAAAACAGTTGCCTGTGGAAAAAGCATTCTTTCAAGAGCTGTGATGTTTTTCTGCTGTTAAGAAAGCCAAGAGTAAGGAAAAGTAGCAGTAATGAAACCATCATACTTTGTAGATTACCTGTGAAACAACAGCAGCTCAGCCATCTGGTGATGCTGGGACATATCTTCTTCCTTAATGAAGTTTTGGGAAAAGTCATCTTACCTTCAGAAGCTTGGAATGTGGTTTCACAATTATGCCATGGATGACCTTTTACTATGCCTGCTGTTGACGATGAAAATAGTCTTGCTTCATCAGGGTGTCACCTCCGCCTTCTAATTCAGACGCTACTTCCTGGCATTGCTGGAGTGCCTTTAATTTAATGGTAATGATTTAATTAAGCTGGAGGACTACCCAGCAAAGTAAGTGAGTCTTACTATGCCACTCCAGAAGGGGAAACAGAGTTGTGGAGTGTCGGCGATTTGCCTGTGGTAATATAGTTAGTGGCACAGTCCTGGCTGGTATTAGTTCATCCTTGAGGTTCTCCTGTGATGCAGTCTGCCACAGGCTTTGCTCTGCTGTGTTTGTCCTGTAAATGTCTGTAACTTGCTAATAACCATATTTGTGTTAATTAGCCTCTCATTACAACACATAGTTGCAAATCAAATTCCATTCTTTGAAGATACATACATGCAAATGATTATTGAAAGTTGAAAGTCTAGTTTAAAACTATGCAGTACAAGCTATAACTGAAGGGTTAGGAAAGGTTCAACACTAACTCTCCACTGCAAAGGTATTCAGGAGGTTATAAGCCAAAAATGCTTCTTTATATTTGTGAGCTCACATTTGTGATAGTAATATATTGCCTCATAGCACATTTCATACTGAATTATCTTCATGCAGTCTGAGATCTCACGTATGTAATGGGAATAGGGAGAGTCTCATACCCCCATTGTAAAAAGATTATATTCAGTGCTTATAGTTTCAGGGAGGAAACCATTAAGTGGCAGTGCAAGCTCTGTATTATTTGTCTCCTGTTGAGCTAATCTCAGCCTAGGACTCAGCTGTGGAAGCAGTGTAATGCTGGAAAACATTAGAACAGAATATTGGCAGAACCTACTTGAGGCACCAGTGCCACTATGTGTGTGAGGATCTGCAGTAGTACACAATGTTTTGCTTGAACAGTAGGTACCTGTTGCTGCCTCAGAACTCAAGAAGTCCTCCACTGTGAGCAGAAGCCTCATGCACTTCCAAAGCAGGTGACACAAAGTCCTTGGCAGCACAGTGACAAGGACTGTGTAGGAACATCTATTTCTCTAACATTGTGTTTTCCCTGTGTGATGGGCTCTATTGCACAGTCAGCTGCTTCCTGTTTGCCAGTTCTTATGCGAGTTGGCAGGATTTGTTCCAGAGTATTTTACATTTCAAGTGAATTCTTATTATGTTTAATCATAGTATTATTTCTTCCTTGTGATGTAGGTTTGCCAGATAGTAACTATCTTTGTTATTATGTGCAGATTTTCCTGTTTGACTCTGAGATCCTCTTTCATGCATGTTGATTAATTTTTTTCCTCAAAGCATCCAAGTCATCACAGTCAGTGAATGTGGCTTTTATTACATAGAGTTAAGAACCTCATGAATATTAAGTATGTTCTTAAGAATAATGTGATGATCTTACTAGTCCCTTCATCTCTGAGACTCAGAAGATATGTGGAAAAGCTTCCCTGGAATTCTGTAATCATTCCTTAAGGAGTTTTCAAATACAATTCAAAGCTGCAATAGGGTTAAATTCCATCAGTCAACTTGGTTTTAGTTGTTCCTATTTATTATACATGTATTCCTTATTGCTTATTTGCTATACATCAGAAACAAATAAACTGCTGATCAGGTAGCATGATGGGCTACTAAGTTCTATAGATGTTGTTAAAAGCTGGTGACTTTGCCTCTGTTATGAAAGCCCATTGTTTGGGCTTTCAAGTGCTGAGGAACTTGTGATTGGAAGGTGCTAGAATGTGTTGGCCTGAATCAAATGCAGCTCATAAAGGTCTTGTGTTTCCCTGTAACTGTTAATCAAGGTTCACAGTACCTATTGAAGAGATTCAGTGGGAAGGTATAGTTTTACCTTACAGATAAAAATTGGGAAATTTGGAAATCAGAACTCTGCTGGGTTCTTTGTTTGCATCAACATTGCTTTACATATATTATAGACCAAGATGTTATTGTGCAGCTTCTACTGAATCAGATGGTGCACTCAAGGTACCTGGAATCCATGTGTATCAAGAGATATCAGAGAGCTGTAGGCCATGGGTGTGAGAGCCTGAAGGAGACAAGAGACAGTATTGGTTAGTGTAATAGGCCCTAGGAGATCAGCAGATATAACTTACTTGGTTAGTCACTAGTGACTAAAGAATGAGGAGGGATTTGAGGGAAGACAGTGGTAGCTTTCAGCAAGTATTTGCAGACAGGATCTATCAAACATGATGGGCATCACAGGAGAAAGCAGGAAGATGTCTGTTGGAAGTGGATGATGGAGGATGACACCTTCCTGCTGGTTGAGAGAGCTTCGTGGAAACTGGCTGTGTGGATGTAGGCTGATGAGTGTTCTAGGAACAAATAATGTATGTTCAAAATGAGTCCTGCAGGGGACCTGTGAAGTGCCTAAGGGGCCATGGAAGTTAATAGGACTTGAACAAAATGGGCTTGGGCTCAGAGCCCAGACAGGTATAAGTGAGGTGAACAGCTCCTGGTGGTTTCCAGAGAAGTGTGGGTACAGAACATAGCATGGAGCTTTCTTGAAAATTGCTATTTTTGTGAACTGCTCTGAAATTCTTGGTGTGGAAGAAGCAAACCTGAGAGAGGCAAAGGGAATATAAAACCCCAAACAACATATACCCCACACCACCAAACCCTTAGGTCTGAGCTCTTTAAGTACCGGACCCTCGCTTTGGGTTTGGGACTATTACAGTAGTTCACTGCACTGTTCATAACCTGGATGAGCACTTTACTTAGAAGTGGCACACACAGTAGGCACATGCACGTTTGTTTTTCTGGTTTTTGACACATCTGTTTTCATTGTTATTTTGTGGGTGTTTCTGTCTTATGTAACTCAGCTATTTCTGTAGGGTTGCAGGGAAAGGAAGTGAAAGGGAGTGAACAGCAATTTCCATGCTTCTGGTTTTACAACAGTATAAATAATCAGGAGAGTGAGAATGTAAGAGATCCTGGGTGGCTGAAGTGATGTAGAAGCCTTCACTTCTGAGGTCATTCCTTTGGACCTGCTGCCAGTCAAGAGTGGCTGAAGGTTTATGTTGGAAAGCTCTGGGATGAGCTGTTCAGGACCTTCTGGTGGTGTCTTTCCACTCTTCCTGGTGCTTGTGTTTCCTCCACACAAGATGTGGCTGGGAACCACCATGCCATCTCTCAATGTACAACAAGGCATTGAGTTCTTCTGTCAGGTTGATCCTTCTAGACGTTGATGAAGCATGTCATGAGAGCAGTGTTGCTGCTCCCACCTATTCTGTACTTCTGGTTTTGAGGCAATAAATCATCTTTCTCTATAAAGATGTTGATCTGCCACAACTGAAATCACAGAGCAGTTCCAGCTGAAGAGAAGGGAGAGAAATGCTAAAGAAAAATTCAGTTTTATGCCTTGCCAGACTTAAATTCAGGCTTCAGCAACATGAACATACCAGGGTTATGTTATTGAACAGTATTATCTCCTATAGGCTTGCTTTTCTTAATACCTTTCCCGTGTCTGCCGGTGGTCAGCAACTGCAGTGGCTGAGCAGAACAGCAGAGGGAAAAGATCAGGGTTTTTATGAAGAGAAGCTGCAGGAGCAGCTTGGAGCTTGGCTGGCAGAATGAGAGAACCACATGCTGGAAGGAAAATCCCTTCAGCCTTGGCATGTGAGGGGTTTTTTTGTTTTAAGGCTGCATTGAACCAAAACTGCAGTAATCTGTTTTACTCCTTGTTCAGGCTTCTGCCAATAATTATGTAAATAACAACACAATTATTGGTTTCATAGCTTCCCATTTTATTTGTGTTAGAAACATGTCATTATTGTCTTAGACTGTGAGCCCTGTGTTCTTGGCAACATGCAAAACAAGAGTGGGTGAACTGACGGAGTCAACGTGACTTCTGTCTGTGTGAAGCCAGCAGGTCTTGAATTGAAAGTAGCCAAAGGTTAACTTTGGTTGATATGGCTGTCCTATGACTTGATGATCTGCTCTCTCTGCATATTTTCGTTTCAGAGAAGTGATCCTTTGGGAAGAGTATGCCAACAAAGCAGTCCAGATCTGAAAGGAGGGGATGTCTTCCCTTGTTGATTTGCAATTTTCACCTCTCTCTCTCTGTGTTGTCTCTGTACTTTGTGACTTGTGCCTGTGTGGTAGCGATGACCTTGAATGTTTTGCATTTATACTGGCATATATTTGCTTTAGCGCAGTTTTGCTACCAGCTCTGCAGTCTGGGAGGTTTACAAACCTCTCTGTGCGTTTGTTCTGTACTCGTCAGTGAGCGTTTCCTTTATTCACATTTTCACATTGCCTTTGCATTCTAGGGATGGATGCCCATCCCTGACAGTGTTCAAGGCCAGGATGGACGGGACTTGGAGCGACCTGCTCTAGTGGAAGGTGTCCCTGCAGGTGGCAGGGGGTTGAAACTGGATGAGCTTTAAGGTCCCTTTGAATCCAAACCATTCCATGGTTTAGTGTTGGGTGGTTTTCTCCAACAGGCTTATACTTGTGAGCTTTATCCCAGCTAAACCCACTGCAGCTTGGCTGTCCTAAGCAGCACAAATGTAATAATTTGATGTGATATTAGCTGACCAAGTGGCACTATTATCCAGGCTATAGTAATCAAACAGGTTGGTGTATGAAATGTTGGTTATGGGACACTGAATCAGGGCAACTTAAGCACTTTGGGGCAGGGACCAATTTTGTGCAGTTCCAAGCATGCTGTCACTGCTAAATAATAATTAATGCAGAATTGCGACACTGTTAATAAATACTGTGTAAGTGAAGAAACAAACTGTGCAATAAGGAAAAATGATTTCTAATGCACCAATGTGGCTCATAAAGAGTGGTTGCATGTGTTTGTGTGTTAGGCTATTAGGACTCAAATACTGCTGCAGCTAATACTGAAACATTTGTAATAATGTTGTTATTTCCGTCTAGCAGCCAGAAATGCTGCCTGATTTCAGGATAACAATATATTCAGGAAGCCAAATGCCCAAGGGCCCCTGATGACTGACAGCTACAGTGCTCTGATTAAAACTGACAGCTCCTGAGCAGCTCTATCTTGGATGTGCTGGATCTTTCCTTGATGCGCTGGGTCTTGGGGAAGAGAAGGGGGAAAGGACCAAAAGCAACGTGATACGATAGTGTTAGGAGATGAGACTCTTTTTGTTTGCATTTTTTTGAGGAGTTTGTAACTCTGCAGAGCCAAACAAGGTACTTGTTTACTCGAGTAAGAGTGCTTGGAGGGGCAAACATTGATCTCTCCATTATGACTCTCCTATAACAAGACATGGAAATTACTAAGGTGCTCGTTCCTAGTCATTGATTTTTGACTTAGAACAACAGCGTGCTGAGGTTCCTGGGTTTTGGATGATCAATTAAGCTACAGTAAAAAGTGTGTGTGTTTTATTCCCAACTGGTGTTAAAGCAAGGGAGAGAACTTTTTTCTCTACATGAGAGGAATCCCAGTGATTTTGTTCATCTGCGCTTGCGCACAGACTGCACAGACAATTGAACAGTCCCTAACAAAACCCCTTGGGTCACTCGTCAGAATGTGAGCTTGTTGGGTGCTGATTCTGGCTAAAGGTTGGGCACTTGCCCACTTGTACTCCACACAGTGAGTGTATTTTCTGCCCTTTCCTCCCTGCTTTCTCCCCAGCAGCATTTCCTAGCTGACAAGGTAATAACTACCTTTATTTCATTTCTCTCTGTGTTCATTTAATCTACTTTTTATATGTATGCAGGTTCTGGATGCTCATGAGCTGTTCACAATGCTTCCCTGGCCCGCACTGCTGTGTGTTTGCCAGCTCCATGGTGTACTTTCATCTGCACAGAAGTGCTAGAAAAGCAATAAAATTAATGAGGTTTCTTCTCTTGTCTGTTTCATTATAGCAGGGTCTTGGTAGAACTGCTAAAACTTAGAGCAGCGTGGTATTTCCTTCAGAAACCATATATTCCTGTGTAGTCATTATTTGCACCTCTTATACATTGGCAAATTCCAGCTTGGCATAAATGGGTACTGCAGTTATTTTGTATGCTTTGACCAGTTTTGGAAGCTAGTGCACTGTTTTGTAGGTGCTTTAGCATCCATGAAATTGGGCAGATCTTTCACTATGTAACCAAGTTTTGGGTCATACTTAAGTTGCTGGTGTTGGGGGCACTGGAGAAGTGGGCTTCTTTCTGAACCTGGCAGTTTCAGAAGCTACAGATGCTGTGCAGGGAGAACAACTGTGCTTCGTGGAGCATATTTCTAGAGAAAACACACGTTGAGTCACCGCATAGTGAGTGCCCTTCCAGAGGTTCTTTGTCTCCTATCATGCTTCAGGAAAGCTCTTGGAAGCTAAAATGCTTTTCCAAGTAGGGTTAAAATTAGGTTTGTCCTTAAAGGTGTGCAAAGATGACTCTGCTATTAAAGCATATTTTTGGTAGCTATTCAAGGCACAGTGGGTGTACTTTAAGTTATTATAAAGCTACCAAAATTATCCTGGTTTTGGGCTGTGGAGCAAGACAGATTGCAACAATAGCCGAGGAAGAGAGAAGTAAATCACTTTTTCTCTGTATTCTCATTTGGAAGTGACTTAAAATTGGTAATGCTTCTGTAGTCATACTATGCTCAAAAATATGTAACAGTATAAATGTCAAACTTGGTACATCATTGCAAGCTTACATTTGCCTCACAAGTGTACATTTAAATTGCTTGCATTGCTGAAAGCCACTTAACAAGAATAAATTAGCAGTAGAGCTAATGTTTGAATAAAACCACGAGTTCTGTGAGTGCCTGGATAGAGGTTTTTCTCTGTAAGGACATGCAGTACAGTCTGAATTGGGATTTAACCTTGACCAAAATACTTAGTCAAGCTCTATTATACCATCCCTTCACATTTTCAACGTGAATAGGAAATATGTTCATCACCGTTTAGGAATTACTGGACTTTGTAACCTGATGATATTTGGATTTATTCACTCAGACTTTATGCTGCTGAAGTACAAACTGCATCGATGATGAATGGGAGAGATTTCCTATGCGGTTGCTATCTGTAGCAAGAGATCTGTGTGCACAGAACAAGCCCAGCAGTGGGAGAGTTCAGTTTGTCTCCATAGTTGTGAATGTTCAGCCTCAGGTCTCAGCAGAGACTGTCAGAGAGCAACAGTTAGGATCAGTCATGCTGTGGACATCACTTGTTGGTAGATTTAAATCACTGATCTGATAATGAAGCTGTTTGTAAATGGCATTAATCACACTTGTGCCTGGCAAACCCAGTATTTTTCAGCTCTTCAGTTTTCTTGGTAGATTAAAACACACAAAACTTCTTGCTTGCTTGAGTTTGGCTGCAGTGAAGGAAGCTGGTAAGAAGAACATTTATTAGCAGCACAAGTTTTCTACCGTTTTGCTGTTTTCAGGGGTTTCTTCTGTTCTGCAGGAGTAAGGTTTGAGTTTTCTTTATATTTTTGTTTTATCAATGCCATTGACATAATGCAGAAGATCCCTGTCTGCAGCTTCTATTCAAACGTGGGCTCCAGTTGCCTCTGCTAGTGTTGAGGCGTAAAGACAGGAGACCTAAAATACAGATCTTAGTCATGCAGAAAGTTTCCATTTTTTAAAGAAATAGGTTTATAAGTATGGTTTTTCTAAACTGTATCCTCTCCTTTCTAATTATACACTTGAAATATTAGTATATAGAATTTTGCAAGTATAATTTAGACTCTGGCAGGTAGTGCCATGGCAATTTTAAGGTAGGCTTAAAAAAAATTGCACCTAAATATCCCAACAAGAGCAATTTTATACCTTAGTGATATTCTTGGGCTTAGTCTGGAGGACCTGATCCTAGACTCTGGTGTTGGTTTTGTGTTTCTATTTTCCCCTTTCAACCCAGAATGCAATAGGGACTGGGTTGTCCTGTCTTTTAAAGGTATAATCCCTCTCTAAGGTTTCAAGGCTGGAGGGAAGCACGAGCACACTTTGGGTACTTTTAGGTTGCATGTTCTGGTTAGAAAAGAGTCTCTCAGCAGCTCTTAAAAAGACTGGTGGTGAAAGGCTTGGTAACTGTGAGAGTTACGGATGGAGCATCAGTCTGTGTGTGTGGTGCTGTGTTCACACAGAGTCCAGGCCTTCCCGCTCTGTGATGGATTTCTTTTCATGGATTAGTTTCCCTTTAAATCTGGGATAGCAGTTTTCCAGTCAAAATTGCTATGTGGCATGTGGTTTGCTGAGGGAAAAGCAAGTAATTTCTTGTCTACCAGAGGATCATGCCATGTCAGCTGTCTGATCCCCCTGTAATTTTGCTGTGGACCACTGCTAGGTACCCCTGCTGCTGCGACTGCAGCTGCACGCGCCCTGTAAGTTCAGCATGGATGCTTAGATTGTCATCACTCTTATTTTCCTTTCCTTCTGTCCCTCCCCCAGGCTCTCATTGTGTGTAATCAAATTAAGGAGTGACACCAGCCCCAGTGGAGAAGAGCTGCTCTGTTAGAAAGCTGTCCCTCTGGAATCTGCACACAGACCTCTTCATGTGCACCTGCCATTGCTGGCTGCTGCTGGGACCTTGTGTGCCAGCAGCCTGCACTGAGAAGTGCTCCCTGTTCCTCCTATCTCCATTAATAGTTTTAAGGACACTTAATACTTTGCTAGTCTCCTAAAGCTTGGCTTTGTCCATAAATACTGCATTATATTTTTACAGGGTCCAGCTGAAGAGTGCTTTGTAGTGAAAGCTAGAACAGGCTGTATTATGAGGTTTCTGTTAAATCTGTAAAGACCGTCAGCAACACAGCTCATCAGTGATTGGTGCCAAGTGGTAACTGGGAGGATGCTGGCTCTTTCGAGACAGTAGCAGTCCCTTGTGGAACACTGCAGACTTCTATTTGAAACCCACTGTAGGTTGGTAAAGCCTCTTTTGCTGTTTCTGTTCAGATTTTCTGGGCACTGTGCCTTCTCTGGGGTACAGGGCTGCTGCCCTTTCCCCAGGCAGGATGCTGTGTGCCAGGCACACGTGCCCCAGCAGCTGCACATTCAGGAGGATCAAGAAAGTGAAGATCAACTGTGAAATAACCGCTGGGCTCTGAGGCTTGCCAGGTCTGCCTACTCTGCACAAGCCCTTCTACCATGCTTTTCACTGTCTGATGAGCCCCTTGGAGTCAAACCAACCCTTTTCCAATGTGAAAATTTGAAACCAGGACATTTCCTTATGTCATGAAGCCATCTCATTTAAATATTTTACACCTCAAAGTATTCACTTGTTTCGATCCAGAATTCTTTGGATCCATCCTGGCTTTTTATTGACTCTCTATCATTGGAAATCATTCAAACAGCATTGTGCAGTGGAGCCTCCTGGGAACCCTACTTGGACTAAGCAGCTAACTGGGGCACTTGGCTGCCTTTGGGGTTCGATGCTGCTGCTCCCTCATTGTGAATAGCTTTCATGTGATGTTTTCGTTTGAGCAGTGGATGTTGCACATCTCAGTGGTGGGTGTTAGAGATAACTGTGCCCATGGAAGGGTGGGTCTCTGTGTCAGAAGTGGAGAACGTTGGTGGAACTGAACAGGGTGCAGCCTGCCTTGTTGCTTCTGCTATTGCACTGTTAGGAACATTAATCTTTTAGCTACTAAATGTCTCTCATTGGTGTTTGCTGAATGTAGTTACTAACATCCAAGCAAGCTCAAACAATGGAAAATATATGAAATATGAACCCATTCTTTGTGCTCGGGTGGGATCATTCATCTGGCTTTGGTGAGGAATGTTCACCTCACATTTCCGAACATTGTATTCAGCAGATGAGCTGTTTCCTCCTCATCCTTCAGGTTTTGGTTTCTCCTTTGGAAACCGGGGCTGAGAGGCCATGCTTAGGTGGGCTGTTAGAGTAATTATCAAATAGAACAGGCATGGCTTTAAAGGTGCTGTTGTGTGAGTTTACTGTTAGTGATTGGAGGGGGGGGGAATTGGCTGGGTTCTTGTTTGTGTTTCCATAGTTCAGCCTATTGACATGCAGATGAGCAGCAGTCACACTGGGAGAGAGCTGCCTATTCACTCTAGCAGTCTCCCCAGCTGGAGAGAAGACTGAAGAATGCAAGGGAACCTCAAAAAACACCAAAGCCTACAGTAGACAGCCTCCAGTCAAGGGGCCTATTTGCAAAGGGTATGGATATTCTGGTGTTGCTACCGAGTTTTATCCTTGCTGGGTCACTGTCACTGTTCAACAGCTGAAAGAAACCTCCTTGTACAGGGATGGGCTTCGTTTCACACATCCTAAGGTAATGAGAGTAAATTATGGGGAAGCTTCATTCCTCCACAGTTGCTCTCAGCCCAGTTTCATGGAAACTTTAACAACAAAACAAATACAAAACTTTTTTTTTTAAATAAAACCCCCTTAAAAATAGAGCTAAGGTTAAAAGGAGACTGTGTCTAATTCTGTTAGCATTGTGGTCCTCATTTGTCGCTCCTGGTGACTTGAATTCCTCACAGATTGCTGGTTTCTCTGCAGATCTGTAATTCCCACATGCTGTAATTTTGCCCTTAGAAATGTTGGCCACTGTCAGCTCTCTGTTTCTGAGCTGGAATTTTGAATGTTTTAAACTCCTCAGTGTGGTCTTTTTCTGTTGAGCCCCAGCGGAGGCATTCGCCCCTCAAGGAGGATGGAGCAGAGGTTTGCTGTGCTGTGACAGAGAGCATTGACAAGGCAGAGGTGGTGAGCAGGGGGCTGGGGTGCAGAGCTGCCTCCTGGATGTGTGAAGAAGGTGCCTGGGTTCTGTGTTCACTGTACAGAGAAGTTTGTGTTGTTCAGCAGCAGTGTAACTGCTCAGAGGAGAACCGGGCTGGAGAACCAGAAGCTCTTCTAGGACACCTCAAAATGTGAGCTCACGAGCTGCTGCAGGAAAAATTCTGTTTGCCATGCAAAGTCCAAGAATCTCCCAAATAACGTGCTCTGGTCTTGAAGTCCTGTCAGCTGGTGGAAGGGTCAGATATTGCTGTGAGCCTTTGGCTCGTTTGAAATCAAAGCTACATGCTCAGAGTTCCAGCTAGCACCCAGTCTCTCATTTTAGGCCATATGTTTAATTATGTCATGTCATGAACTGAAAGAACATATCATTTATTCTAAAGTCTGAAAACTTGAAATGCTGAGATGAAAGGAGAGATGGATCTGAGTTGCACTTTCATCTGGTTTTCATCACGGTGCTGTTTTGTTGGGCTTGTTTTGTTTGTTTTGTTTTAGGACCCCTGAGAAATTAAACCTTATTCTTTGTTGTCTGCTTTTTACATCAATTTTATCCTCTGGGTATCCCCTGTTGTTGTTATAACTGTTTCTATGCACACAGCCTTAAATGGATTTCTCAAGTAAGAGGACATGACAAGTAAATGCAATTAACTATTCAGATCTTCAAGGGCTTATGATGTAACCAGTGGATGGAGGTTGGTCTTGAAGTACAAAGATACTTTAAGCTCCAGATCTTTATACTTTTCTGCTCTGCTCTAAAACATAGTGGAGTTCTGCTGTTTACTAAAGTAGTCATGGGTGCTTCTTAAACAAATCTTAAATGCCTGGAGGAGACTTTTTGGTTATACACTAATCATAGAATGGTTTAGGTTGGAAGAGACCTTAAAGCTCATCCAGTTCCAACCCCATGCCATGGGCAGAGACACCTTCCATTAGACCAGGTTGCTCCAAGCCCTGTCCAACCTGGCCTTGAACACTGCCAGGGATGGGGCATTTACCACTTCTCCGGGCAACCTGTGGCAGGGCCTCATCACCCTCACAGGGAAGAGCTTCCTCTTTATATCTAACCTGAATAACGATGTATTATTTCCATTTGCAGTTAGGAATTGCAATTAAGGACACTTGTGCTGTGCTCTGTGCAGACAGGTAACAACACTGTCTGCTGGGGGACTGGAGCTCTCTGCTTATGGATCACCTTTGCCATACCTGTGGGCAACTCTTCTTCCACTGGCTTTTCTCTATGTATGATAGGATCACCCTTCAATTGGCAGCCCTCAACCAGTAAGGCTGGCCCAATATCGTTATCTCTGCTTCTGATCAAATTAATGGGGTTCTGTGTTGTTTAATATGAAGCAGAAGACTGGGCCTAAGCAGTTTGCAGGCTGCAGATGTGGTGCAGCAGTACTGCAGTGCACTTCTGTGCAGTCTCTGCTACAGCAAGAAGGCAAAACCACGTTCTGTAATTTTATGAAAGAAGAGTGTGTAATTTAAGCTAAAAGCTTTACTTGATAGGCTGCAAGCATTTATTTTTGAAATGTGCTGTGAAATGTTAGTAGTGGCTTTGTGGAAAAATGTTGGATTGTGAAGGAGGAATGTTTATTTTGGATTGAAAAGTTTCAGGAAGGAAATGATATTCATATCTTGATCAACGTTGAATAATGTGAAGCTTACATAGAAAATAGCCTGGCTGAGGTATCTTCATGTTAGTGAGAATACAGGGTAGTTGCGGAGTGTTTATACTGTACAACTGAGATAAAGATTTTACTCCTTTATTTTCCTGTGTTAGAAAGGATAAATGGAAGGAGGACCAGAGAGTTCAAGCCAGGTTTTGGACAGTGCCCTGAAGTATTGCTGTTCCTATTACTGCAGAGTCCTAAGGTCCACAAGAGTACATCATATTGCAGGAGTCCCTGTGCTCTTTAACCCTGCTACATCCCTGTAAGTGGTGCTGGAAGCAGGACAGCAGAGAGAAAGCAGACAAGGAGAAGGCTCCATTGTGTAAGGGGACTTCAGCAGGAACATGTGAGAAACACAGACAGCCCATGTTCCACCCTGTGACCACCCTGCAGACCTCCTGCATGCTCCTCCCTAGCTCTGCTTTCCTACCTTGCATAGCAGGATTGTCCAGCATGTAAGAACTCCTCACAAATCACCAGTACTCCCAGGGGTCTGTAGGTTAGTTGTTCATTGTTAATATCATAATGTTGGGGATGATGCTGATGTCTGCCTTGAGTTTGGAAACAGAACAGCAACTAGAAGAGGTCGATCCTGAAACAGCTTCTCACAGAATCATAGAATGGTTTGGGTTGGAAGGGACCTTAAAGCTCACCCAGTTCCAACCCCTTCCACTAGACCAGGTTGCTCCTAGCCCCATCCAACCTAGAAGCAAAAGTGTATTTTCATTTACCCACTCCAGTTGTTTTCAAGCTGCTGGAACAACACTGATGCTTCCCTCTCTGCCTCCTGTTTGGCAAGGCCTTTCCAGCGTGGCAAAGCAGCATGCTCCTGCAAATGAAGGGGCAGCTCATTTGTGAATGAGTTCACTTGCATACCTAATTCCCTTTCACACCTCTTGTTTGCAGCTGATTGTTAGTGTGTGTTAAAACATGAAGCTTTCCCTGTGTTATGCTGAGAGTGAACTGTGTGAAAGGGATAAAGAGGGAAAGGGGTTTTAAGTAAAACCATGATGATGGATGGCATTTAAATACCTCTACTTTGTAGAAATTGATGATGTAATTCAGTGTCTCAGTATGAAGGACTCAAAGAGGAAATAGATGCAACTCAAAGCACTTTATGAGGCGAGGCTCTAGAGCTAGTCTGTATTTATCTGGAGCAGTGGAGGTGAGGATTAGGACATGCTGCTGCTGAAATAATGGGTCTGGTCATTTCTGAAGGCTTAGCTGACTATTTGCAGGTATTAGCAGTGTTAATTTTGTTTTATAAGGCAAATTAGTCATTGTTTTCTGCAGGGAGGAGAAAGTGAAGGAAAATCCCATTCCCTTTTTCCTCCTCTTTCTTTGTAGGTGCTTTTGGTCCCCTCTAACTGTGGCCAAGGCCACACAAGTGGTTGCTTTGGCAGGTGACTTGGGGAGCAGCAGTAACCAGGGCAGGGCAGGGAGGTGGGAATCAGCAGCTGATAAGCAAAGAACTGGGACGCTGCTGATCAGATAAGAAAGATACAGCAATTAAATTCTCATGGGGGCAGAACCACAGCCATGTAATTTGTCCTTTACAAGGCCAGGTGGCCATAGTAGTATTTTGATAGCAAAGCAACAGGCAGAGGATTTTAGTTATTCCTAGCTTTAGAGGTGCAGGGTTTGTTTCATGGCAGCAACATGAAAAAGAGGGTGTTGACTTGGTCAAGATAGAGTCATCACGTTGTTTAGGTTGGAAAAGACCATTAAAATCACTGAGTTCAACCGTTGCACTGTCAAGGCTACCACTAAACCATGTCCCTCAGCACCACATCTACACATCTGTTAAGTCGCTTTAGGAATGGTGACTCCACCACTGCCCTGGGCAGCCTGTTCCAATGCTTGACAACCCTTTAGTCAAGACATTTTTCCTAATATCCAATCTAAACCTCCCCTGGTACAACTTGAGGCCTTTCCATCTCGTCCTGTGAGGATACCTGTCAGAGGGATGTGTTGTTTTCTTGCGTTGTCCTTATGTGTCCTTGTTATCTTTTGTCTGAGCAAGCTTTTTGTAGGAGGAATCATCATTGTTCTGTTTGCAAAAACTAAATCAAAGGGTGCTGGTGGTGTGCGATGGAAACTTTCACCCTACTGTGAGTAATTGCCACCATAACAAGTAGGGCCTTTTGCATTTGCCATGAAACTTAGAAATATGAGTCGGTTTTTGTGTGTGATTGACTTGTATTCTGGGTTTGGAGCCTGGATTTTTGTGTGTTTGGGGGATTTGCTGCGCAGCCATAAGGTTAAAGGATTCAGTAACTGCAGCGACAGCTGTTTTAAGGAGAGTGCCAGATATCACAAGGATAAACAACCAGGAGATGGCAGTTCTTAAATCCTACTTGTTCAAAAGTTAGCACTGATTCTGGAAGTGCTTCCTCAAAAAGCATGAGGCCGTGTGTGTGCTGTTGTCAGGTGGGAACCTAAAACATGACAGATGTCTGCTGGTGGCTCCGAGATTTCCCTTCTGTGGAGCTTCTGCTTTCCTTGCTGAAGTGGGGAGGGTTCTTGTGACTCCATCTACCTTTGTTAACCTCCTTCCTTCAGCTCTACTTTCAAGTTCATAATCTTTACCCTGAATTAGCCCATTTCCCTAAAACTTGCTGTAAAAAGAATGTAAAAATTCTACGGTTCATATAGCAGGGAATGAAGAAATCTTTTGTATACGTGTTTAAGTAGCTCTTGCCATTAGGTTTAAACTGTTCTGTTGATGCTGTTGCTCCACCACAGCAGAAATCTCACTCCAGCTGCGTATGTGAAGGGTGTAAGTAGCAGTACTAGCAGTTTTCCTCAAGAATTTCTTTACATCTGAATGGAGCACACACAAAACAAGGCAGCTGATCTGACAAGCAGACCTGCTGATGGCTCCAGGAAAACGGGTTTGTTTTTGTTTTCAAAGCAGTTTCTGCAGTTTTTCTCCACTTCTCTATTGCACAATTTAGCTGAATGGAGATGTATTATGCCTGTAGCACACAGCAGGATCCTTCTGTCTATAGATGTTTTATGCAGTCTTTTCTTTTTGCAGTATCCTAGGGTGGTTTGCCTGAGGTGAATTTTCTTCTCAGCCCCCAAAAGTGGCATTAATGCAATATAAAACGTAGGAAATTATGCTAAAAAGAAGGTAGGAGTAGGACGGAGCATATTTGCGTTTGACAAATGTCTTTGCCATTTCTAACACTTACATCTTCTAACATCTGAGTGTCTGCAGTCCTCCTCTGGGTCCTTAGAGCATCAGAAGATGGGGAACAGCAGTTCATGACCTCACATACAAGGAGATGAATCATTGGTGTTCTCTGAAATTACAGGTATTTAAAAGTGATTGCAAGAGACTTCTCTTAGCCTGTGCCATTTCAGAAATAGAGCTGTATTTTCTTACCTGTAGCATACACTTGGTAGGAATAGGGGCAAGTAAAGAAAGAGGTTTGAAGTCAGTTCAAGATTGGGTAGGGTTATGTGTGCCTTTTTAAATAATGGTCACATAAAAGTCAAACTACTGGCCATGTTTCTGAGCACAGAAGGAAAACCTGCTGTGTTTGGGTTCAGTTCTAGTGTGCATGGAGCAGCTCTGACTCCTCTGTGTCTGTTCCATCACAAAATGGGAGCAAACTGAGCAGGAGATGAAACTAAAATCAAAGGTACTGCATGGGGATTTGAGTTGGCATGAAAGGCAAGTTCTTAATTGAGGGAGGTGCAGTCCAGATGTTCTACCATCAGAAAAACAAAGAGTTAAACTCATTTAGGGAACATTTTGTTCTGAATATATATCTGTATTTATATCTTACAGTTATAATAAGTACAACACTTGAGGATTTGATTGTACTTCCACGTGGAGATCTCTCTTGGTTAAAACAGTGTCTTGAGGAAAGGATAGATGGTACCTCTTTTCCAGCTCAACCTCTGTTGTGAATGGGTGACTGTGATCCTTGTGGCCATTAACAGGGGTATATACTGGGAGGCTGCTCATTTTCCATGTGTCTGTTCCATGACTGGGATTTCATGCGATGCTGCAGTGCTGTGATAGGTAGTAAAAAGCAGTAGATATGTGATAGGCACTTCTCAGCAGTTTTATTCTCTGACTGTTGAAGAGCAACCAGCATTGTGACAGTTCCTCCACATTGCATCCATTTCTTCGAGGATTAGCAGGTCCTTCCAAGCATGCTGGGGGATTTCAAGCAAGGTGTTGGTAAGCCTCATTCCCTGGGCAGGTTGGAGTTCCACACTTACCCATGCATTAGCACAGATGCTTCTTCTCCTGAGTAACTCCTGGTTTTCTATACGTTTTTGTTCCTTATGGAATTTAAGGCTGTGGCTGTGGCCTGCAGGAGCCTGATGGAGTATGAACAGGACTTTCAAGGTGATCTGCTTCTGAGCTTTTGTTCCTTGTTAATTATTGTAATGTGATGAGCAGGTGGGTAGTACAGTGAGCAGGAGCACCAAAAGCAGTCTTTCATATTCCTCAGAAATGCAGGGCAGGTAAAGAAAGCCTACCGGTTTGTTTCCTTTGCCAATCTACTTGCATTTGGTCCTTCCTCGCTTCCACTCCTCTTCAGTGCCGAACCAGCAGAGCACAGCAAGTGTACCCCTTTGCAGTGGTGCCCACATCTCTCTCAACTTGCCACAGAGAGAGGAAGAAATTGGACAGCATAGACGTAATTCTCTTTTGTTTGATTTCCTTCTTCTCATTGCTGCTGTCATGAACACAGGAAAATTACCTCTAGCAAAACACTTAAGAAGAGATATAATCTGCCAAGGGAATTTGGGCATACAGTACCTGCTTAAAATAACAATAAATTAGACAGTTGGATGCCATATTCTCAGTGCAGCTTTGAAAGTCTCTGGCTTGAAGTATAATTACAAATAAGATTTAAACTATGCTATTTATTTATACAAGCTGCTATGAGTCATGAATTGCATCTTTCTGAACTAATGAAAAGATTCATTTTCTCTTGTATTCATTTCCATCCCTCCCAATACCTTCTGGGGGAGATGTCTTACAAAGTAAATGACTTCTGGGACCCCATCTCAAAACCATTCCGTGACGGAGATCGGTGAGGAATGCTGCAGCTCCTTTGGTAAAGCGCGTACCTCCTGGGAACACCTGGAGTGCCTGTTCAGACCTGCATGGAGCTATCTGCTGGTGTTTGGGTGGCATTCGTGTCTGGCTGTTGGACTGACTTGAAAGCACCTTCACTAGCTTGGTGTTTGCCTTTCTTTGTGCTACGGTAGCTCACACATCTACTTTGTCAGGTTCTTGTGGATTTACCTACCATCTATATATGCTAAAACATGTTCACCGGTGAGCTATAGCCATACTGGTGTGTTCTGCACTAACATCCAGAGCAAACTTCTCTTGCTTCAGCACTGAGGGGACTGAGAGAGCACCTGCTGCCTGCTGCTTCTACAGCCCAGCTTCCCAGCAAATATCCTGCACACCATGTGGTTACTTGGAATCAAGTGTGATTTGAGCCAATGTCATGAGCAGATGGAATAAAGGCTTTGGGGCATGGCACGCTTATACAAGAGCTCAAGTCTGCTCTCCACCTGCAACATGTATACCCCACAGCAGAGTTGCTTGACAGGGAATTTCTTTTATCTGAGAATCACTTTAGCTGATAGCACTGATTTTGGTGTTAGTTTACAGTACTTCCTGAAGCCTCATTTACTTTGAATTTACTGACCTCACATGCCCTTCACAATATTCTTGTGAGTTACTTTCAATAATCAGACAACATTGAGGGTTTTTTTTTTCCTGTTTGCCTCAGACTGGATGCTTTTTCAATTTCATCCCCTCTATATTATGCAGCATTCTAATGGGCATACAACCGAGGTGCTTTATTTTCTGCTCAACATCTAAATCAAGAATAAATGATCAAAAGGATTGACATGTCTCCTAAAAGAAGTGCCTTTAATACCAGTGACTGAAGTGCAGGACCAAAGAACATGTATTACAGTCCATATTGAGGACTGGGTTGCCTTTTAATTTCAAAATGGATCTTCTCTTTTTCTTCTCTGTGAGAAAGCATCTTCACAGGACCCCAACAGACTGTTTCTTCAAAGAAGCTCTGCCTTTTATGTTCTGTACAAGTTCAGTGGCTCAGCATTTTCTTCGTGACCCCATCTCTTCAACTGTTTAGATATTTCTCTGCAAAAGTGTGGGTAGGGAGGGAAAGATAAATATTGTTTCCTTTATTTCCCTGATAGTCCCTCATGGACAGACCTGTGTCTGGTCTTGATTATCTCTGAAGATTTAACAGTTTTCCGCTTCACACCTAAAACCATCCTGAGATAAGGAGTGAGAGTTGGGGACCAGGCCAAATGTCATGAAGAAACTTCTCGTTATTAAACATCATTGCAAGAAATGTTGCCGGTTTTCACCAGAGTCATGTGGTGTTTTGTCTTCCTAAAAGACTGAAGATGTTGATTAACAGAAGTGAGAGTTGTAACTGGCAAGGAATAGTGCATGTGTTTCCGAGTTTATAGGTACAGTGGAGTACTGCTGATGTGCTGCTGTGTAGAGAGGAAGAGCCACTATAGTCAGCTTCAGATCTAGAATATACGTAGTTTTTCTGAAAAAGAGAAGTTACTCTGGAATAAAATAAAAGAACTAAAGCAATTCCAGTAAATGAAGCCATAAATTGCAATGGAAGCAGTTTCATTTGAACAGAGGGCACTTTGTACATCAGTCTCTCAGGTTTATTCTTTATTCCTCTCTCCCCTTACTGTGTTAATCCACACTTGAAGAAGGAAGACTTCTCAAAAGTACAATGCATCTTGAGGTTCCATGGAACTTGGAGCCAGGGAAATGAGGGAGTCCCTGTAACAGGATCTTCATGTTTATTAGATGGGAAAGAAACCACAGAGGCAAAAGATTCTGAACATCCGCCACCTCTGCAGAAGCTTGGAGAATGCTGTCTCAAGACAGAGAGCCATAGAAAACAGGGTTCATTAGTTAGATTTATACTTTTTGGTGTAAACTTGCTGTGAATTGGTGTGGGGTCTTGCCAAGCTTTTCTTTGGAAAAGATGTGGGCTTCTCTGAGCTCCATGCTGAGGTTAACTCTTGATCTCGTGCTTAGCTGGCTCCATGGTGCACTGGTCAGCAAGGAATCAATGCACAGGCCATGAGCAGAGGCTTAACAAATTAGAGCCTTTTAGTGTTTCTAGTGAAGGGGGAACCTCAAACTCCTCTTTTAGGCAGCGGTATTGCAGGCTGTGTCTTTTTTTCTCTTCTACTGCATTGTTAATCATCACAAATGACGGTGGAGGCGACTTCCTGACAGCACTTGTATCAAAATCTGACTCTTGAGAAATGAAGGGTTCAGTACCACCTTATTTTATGAAAGACACAAAGCTTTCTGTGCAAGGTGAAGGGTTTTCTGTGTCGTGGAAAGGATGCACAATTACTGTTTTTATTTTTTCCCAGGTTCCTGTGCTCATTTATTTTTTAAGCAATTCATTACTAAATGCCCCAAGGGGATAGTTCATGGAATTTGGTATCACTTTGAAATTCATGTAATGAAGTTAAGAGTTAGAACTGTATTTGTCACTGGCTGATGTTGAAGTGTGGAATCTGACACTCCGAGCATGATGCAGGAAGAATTGGGGCTTATCTTTGGCAAAGGAGGGAGTCTGCTTGGCTGGATAGAAGTCTAGGCTGAAGCTTGGGGAAGAAGTAGGGAACTTGGACCTCTTCCTGTGCTTCTCAATTGTGGGTGAGCTCAGATGTGTCACTTTGTGTCACTTTCCCCACATTTAAACCAGGTAATGGTACTGACCTAAAGGATAAATGCTCAGTACTTCCTAGGTAAGATGTTTCTGTTCACACAACTCTGTTTAAAGTCCCGAGTGCTTGTTAATATCATTTCATTGCAACATTTCTCATGAGTGAGTTTGCTCACTATGGTGTCTTTATCCACAGGAAATGTTTCCTTTTCCTCAGTCCTAGTCTTTCCTTCAGAGTTTCCATGAATTTTTGACTCCTTGTTGCCTTGCAACAGTTAAAAGCCAGGTGAGCCTGTCAGCTTTGTCATCTCACAGACACCAGTTACTGTGAAATCAGACCTTTGATCAAAGGCCTTTTCGGTTGCAGTATCAGAGGCTCCACAGCCTTTATCACCTACCCACAATCTGCAAATAAAGTTTGAACATGGAAAGTGGTTTAAATGGGTTTGCTTTACCAACACAGAAATAAAAGCTGCCCTAAATCAGAGAGACTCTCTCTCCTAATAATAGCAACAACAGAAACGTTCCTGTCTGTTTTTTATTTGGGATGCACATGTCTTATAATTAATCTTCCTTCTCCTAATTTCCCTTTCATCTGGGGCTCTTCTGCGCACTTCACAAGAACATAATAACCAAGCCCTGCTGTATCTGTGACACATTATTATTGTTATTATCTTCATTAGGTTAATGCAGACTCTGAAATTCTGCATGATCATATAACCTACAGAAGGTTAAATTGTGATCTAGTGTCAGAATTGGGAACAGAGCAGTCCTGGCTTTCAAACCTGGGTTCAATTCAGGTTTTGCTGTGTTGCTTAGGAGTGTGCATCACTGTTCTGTTACCATAGCCCTTGTCAAAGAGCTCCTATGGCAATGAGCTAGGCAAAACCCAAAGACGTTGCTGTGGAGGGTGTTTTAGCTTCAGAAATTGCTACAGTTCACACTGGATAAAACAGTCTATAAATAAAACAGGGCAAGCCCTGTTATGTGCTGTGAGGATTTCCTGGTATCGCTGTAGTCACATAGCTACACCAATGACCCCTTTCAGTTACAGAGAAGCCCTAGCTGTCATGCTTGTTTTAGTGCACTGTCTTCTCATCTAAGCACACACCCTCATTCAGGTATGGGCTTTTAGACACAGATTTTACTGCTGTATCAGTCATGGAGCTATTGTAGAACGTGGTAAATTCTTTAATAGGTCGTATTTAAGAAGCTAGACTGATGCATTTAAATATCTCCTCTGATAACCTCAAAGCTGGTTTCTTTTCTCTTTTCCCTAATGGTGCTGTGGGTAAGCCCTGGCTTCCTTCACAAGGTTTTGTGCTCCACGCAGATCTTTGAGTACCTGTGTGCCTCACTGGAGTAATTGTACAAAGCCACTTCCCTTGCCACCTAGATTCATTTAAAGATGTGCTGCTCACAGTAACTGATGCAGCCATTGACAGTTGGGCACTAACCTCGATCACTTCCTAGCACAGCTTGACCAGGACCCAGAATAAAACAGAAATGCTTCATGCATTCCTATGGGAGGTACACACACACACGTTATGTATGCACATGCACAGCGGAGGAGTATTGCATTGCTTTGTTACTGGGAGATACTGGTGTGGGCAATGACAGAAGGGCATTTCCACTCATACACAGAGTAAAAAATGCCTGTGATCGGAGGATCGCAGTGGATGCTCTAAGTAGTTATGGAGGAAAGCACAAGAGGGTTCCAGGAGCCCACGCTGGCAGTGTGGAGTCACAAGCCTCATCTGCAGGAAAAACGTCTGCCACAGGTCATGTGAGGGTGTGAAAACAGCTCCTCTAAACAGGACCTTTTGGTTTAGTTACATCGTGTGTGTGGTAGGATTCTTGTGTAGGTCAGTGCCCTTGTGATGGGAGACCTCCCCAAGTGGGTACAAGAGCGGGGACAAGGAAGGAGGAAGGGTATATTTATTGGTACAAGAAGCTCCTGGTGCCCTCTGAATCATGAGGCGGGTAAGGAGACCCAGGAAGTCCTGGTTATGCTGCTCTAGAGAGAACAGATCAAATGGGGATGAAAGGAATGAAAGAGGGGCCTTGGAGGAGTTTTATCCTCCTTTTTATGCAGGATGACAGACTCATAAAGCTACTTGCCATGTTCAGCAGCGGTGTCTGAGAGGTGTTTAAAGCATATATTTAACAGTAAGGGCCATTCTGGGATTACTAAACTTAGGGTAGGTATTTGTATCTGCAGTCAAAACCTTTTTCAGCTCTGTCATGGTTTAACCCCAGCCAGCAACAAAGCCCCACGCAGCTGCTTGTTCACTCATTCCCCTCTGGTGGGATGGGGAGAGAATCGGAAGAGAAGTGAGAAAACTCCTGGGTTGAGATAAAGGCAGTTTAACAGGTAAGGCAAAAGCCCTGCACAAGCAAAGCAGAACAAGGAATTCCTTCAGCATTTCTCATGGTCAGGCAGTTCAGGTTCAGCCATCCTCAGCACAGCCTCCATCATGTGTAATGGTGACTAGGGAAGACGAATGTCATCACTCCAGACATTCTCCCCTTCCCTCTTCTTCCCCCTGCTTTATATGCTGAGCATGATGTCATGTAGGCTGGGATATCCCTTGGTCAGCTGGGGTCAGCTTTCCCTGTGGAAGATAATGCTATAGGCAATTCCAGCTTTTCCTGCTTTTGCACTTAGAGCCTCATGATTCTATCCAGACCTAGGCTGCAGAGGGAGATTTGTGTAGTGGACATGAACTAACATTGCAGAGATGTGCTCCTTTACACCCCTGTGCTGACATGAAGTTGATCACCAGAAATCTCCCTTAGCCCAGGACCATGGCAGTAGATGTGTCATGCTTTGACTGAGAAACAGGGCACCTCTGCATCTGCATCAGCCCTGCATTTATAAAACATTCTTTATAGTAAAAAAGGATAGGAAGCTCCTTACGTTACATAGAAATATACCAGCGTGCCCTGGACAGCTTGTGATGTTCCAAAACAGCTTCGAGGCATTGCTAAGCAGAAGCAAATTGTAAATGAGAGATGAGATGCAGTCACTTGGAAGTTATGTCCAATCTGAGTGCGTATTTCTACAGATTTGATAGGAATCTCCTTAACTGGAGAAATTGGCTGTCATGGGCTGTAAGTCGTCACTGGTCACCCAGTTGTTCGCTCACATCTTCTGTGTCACAAAAGCGTGTGTGGCTATAAAAGAGGTAAAAAGTCCTCACTCACTGGAGCCTGTGACACTAGAAAACATAGAGGCTTTCTTGCCTTAGCTTCACAACCTTGAAATCTGTGGTGGTTTATTTCTCTCTAAAGAGCTCTTTTAGTTTGACATTAGGAATTGAATCTTACTGCAGCGAAGTGTGATCTGTTGGCATCTCCAGTGACACAGCTATTTGTGTGGAGAAGGTACAGCTGATGGCACAGGCTTTTTGCTGGGCTTTGTGATCACAACCTGCCCTAAAATCTCTGTCAGAAGGTTCTCATGGTCTTTGTGATTGAGGCAGGCAACAAAGCGACCAGCCAGAGGTTATGCTGACAGGGAGTTAATTTGGGAACTGTTATTGTCATGTCACTCGTGCCATTAGTGCTCAGTTTAGTCCTGTCAAAATATTTGCATGTACTTTGGTTGGTGCTAAGGCAAGTAATACCCACCTATTTGCTAAATAAGGTGATATCAAGCATTCAGTAGGATATGATAGTGTGATTTGAACGCGTTTGATTAAAATATAAGTAAGACGATATAAAAGTAAAGACATCAAATTGCTCTTTGAGAGCAAGAGCCTTGCTTTGTATTGTGCAGAGGAGAACTGGTGACTCCTTCCTTCATCGGCTTTGTGTAGCCAGAAGGCCATGAGAGCAGAGTTGTGAAGGCCACTGCCACGTCTGTACCAAGCCAGCAAAAATCTCCCAGATCTCTCCCCAAAGAGATTTTGTAGATACTTCTTTTAATTTCCTTGCAGTTTGTGGCTCATGCCAGTTTCCTGACTCATTGTCACTGCTACGGTGATACGCCGAGTTTTCCAATAAGGAAAACAAGGGAGTGGTGAGTCACTGGCTGAATTCATGTGCACTTGATTTGCTCTATCATTATCTGTGCTGGTTTTATTTATTTTAATTAGTTCATATACAGGTCTCTGAGGTATTTTTCATTGCGTGAATTAGCTAGACTTGGTAGTCTTCCGCATAGATTAGAAAGCCAGAAGAGAACCAGAGCTTTAGTGGCAAGCCCACTTCTTTCTGCTGTAGCAGAAGAGGAGTGTGTGGAATAAGTGTAAGGAGTGGATGAATGGGGATCTTTGCATTTTCTAAGATTTGAATGAGTGAAATAATAGCGTTCTTAGTTCTTGAGGCTCTCCTCTTGGATCTGAACATCTGTTAATGCTGATGATTAGATCTAAACCATCACAGGAGCAGCCTTTTGCTTTAGTAAGGATTGTGTTTCACTTGGATTAGAGCAGAGGTGTTGCAGTGCAAAGTGTGCCTGGGTTTGTGCAAGTTAAACTAGAAAGAGGGTCTGAACTGGGTCCTGAGCTAGGGATGCTGGTGTGGGAGAAAGGTCTGGCCAGCTTCATCTGAAAGCTGCTAATGGTTCCCGTCATTTCAGATGACTAATACAAACCTTAGCTGCTGTTTATGTTGCTGTTGGTTGTTTAAAGTTGTAACAGCTTCTGATTTTACCATTCCACGTCAAGGAATCCTTCCAAGTCTCCATGAATAAATGTTTTTAAGTTCAGGTCTAGGTGCCAATTCATTTCAGCCTGTGCTTTTAGCTAAATCATGTCATTTCACTGAAGTCTTCCCTCAGCCTGTGGGAATTGCCAGGATGAAGGGAATAGGCCAAAACTGGAGTCTCAGTGTGAGATGAGGCGGGGGGAAATCAGGGATCTCGGTGTAGGGAGCTCTATGGTGGGGCTGGCAGAAGACCGGAGTGACCCTATGAGCTCTGTCTCAGATGTGTCCCATGGCACTTTGCAGTTTTACGGGTGAGAGCTGATCGCATTGGATCATAAATGGAAAATCTTCCATGTCTGGGAATTTATTTAAGCTGTTGGGCTCCTGCTGGCTCAGTATTCCATGTTCCCCATTTGACAAGGGCTTCCTTCCCAGCCATAGGCCTGGGAACAGGCCCACACTGTAATTATGGAGATGAAGGATTTGATGAGGGTGTGGTTTTGCCAGTGAGGCACCAGCATTTGGCAGCCATGGCTGCGTTCACATTCCTGTTTGTTTTGATTGTGTTTTGAACCCGAGCAGGACTCGCTGTCCTGTGCTGCCTTCCCCAGACGCCCTGACCCTGTGCTAATGATGCCTTGTGTTAATTGATTCTACACCTGACGAGCATTTTTCGCCTCCTCCCACTCTTGCAGGCAATTTTGTGCTAAGATTTTGCATACAGCATTACAGTGGAGTTTGAGCTATGTTACAGGAACCATCATTTATTACTACCCAGCCCCTGCCAGAGAGAGAGAAGTTGGGTTTTAATCTGTTTTCTTCTCCAAGCCATTGGTTAATTGCATTCCTTATTTTTCTTTTCCTAATGCATAATAACTTGCCGTGCAGGTAAGCCAAGAGCCGTTGGGAATGACTGAACAGCTCAGATACATCCCCATGATAATATAATCATGATAAAACCATTGAATGGAGAAAGTGGGTGTGAGAGGTGGTGCCCATCTCTGAGGGTAACGCTGGGTTCGATTCAGAATAGGAATGTCAGTACAAAGCAGGCAGAAGGGTTTCTGTCATTTCCAAGCAGCGGGTACAGCACCTGCATACCCCAGTGAAAGCCCACCGGGGGTAGGCAACAAGTCCGCTTGTATCAGAGCTACATATGCAC